TTTATTTTTAGCATAAAATAATCTACCAAAATTGAAATTCAACAATAAATTTTCCCCCATAAATTCAAAATTAAAAGAAAGGCTTAATATATTATTTGACGAGAATTCTACAGATTATAAAACATCCAAACAATGGATAGCAGTTGATCGAACTACCCTTGAAACACTGACAAAATCTGCTGACGAATTTGTAGATTATTTAATTGAATAATTAACCAATAGTTCAACCTGCGCTAATACTTCTCGTTCAACTGACATAATTAAAAACGCTTCTAATTTTTCTTGGTCTATATTAGCTCAGCCTATTTTTTATAATTTTTTAATTTACTAAATGTTCTCTCGCAATTAACCTCCGCAAATGATAGAATATCTACTAAATGTTGTTATTATATTTATTGGAGTCAACCCTAAAAGCCTTTTGCGAAAAAATGATCTGGATATTGGGTCAGATGAAAAAAAGTAACCCAAACCTTAGATAGGCCTTTAAAAAACGACCCATATTTTAGATCGGATCGAATAAAATGAGTTGAAGTCGTAAAAAACGATCCGATGTTTGAGTCTGAGTCGAAAAAAGGACCCAAATATTCGTCTTCTAGTCGACTAAAATATAAAACTCGTATAACGACTTAATAGGTTTTTTAAATTATCTATCGATTGATACCTCTAATAACCATATATTTATATACTATAATAAGTTCAATGAGAAATATTAAAATATATGTGTCTGTGCTCGGGGTTCATGCCATAGCTGATTTAGTCGATTTTAGAGCCAAGTGCCAGGTCTGGGTATTAAACAACCAACAATTAACAACACTAATATAAGTAATCGAGTTTGATAAAATTTAAGTTAACCTGAGTTCACGACTCAAATTCATAACTCGAGTTGCGACTTGAGTTAACGACTCAAGTTCATAACTCGAGTCGCGACTTGAGTTCACGACTCAAGTTCAGAACTAGAGTTGTAAAAATGAGTCGACTAATCGACTTAGAACTCGCTGTCGATTGCAGTCGAAGTCGGTAGAACTCCACTATTTAACAACACTACTATTTGCCATTAATACAATGTCATCTGCACATAATAGCTCCCAGGGAAGCCCTTCATGCATTCCTCTAGCCACTACATCTATTAATAAGATAAATAATAATGGACTCAGCACGGATTAATGGCGGGGGATTAGCAATGTCTTTTGGCGGCTAATGGAGGCCTAAAAGGTTTCCTGTGATCTGGGTTTAGAATAGGATCACCGTCTCTTCGGCGGGGTGTAAAAACCACTTAAAAGGGTTGATGTCAGGAAGGGCATACGATTATAAAAACCTTGGTTTAAAATATCCTAATGATTACAACATGTAATGATCGATATTTTAGGTAAATCTATGTATATTACCCATTAATTATAAAAATAAAATTATATATCATGAATTTATATTGGAAATAGGCAGAAATTTAATAATAATAAATCAATGTAACACAGTTAATGAGATTTGGGGGGGGATAATATTGAAAAAAAAATTTCATCATTATTTACTAAGAATTTTAAGGAAAAATGTGCCATGGAAATGGGAAAAGTAATTAATAAATTTAAAAAATTAATATCAGAACACCAATTTTAACACATTATAATCCGAAAAACCTAATTTTAGCTATTGCCGTGTCTCAACATGGACTAAAATAAAAAAAACATAATGAATATAATAAAATACAAGATTTTCTGTTTAATTATCGAAATACGCCAACCAAGTTCAATTATGCTTTTCAACCCATAGAACATTTACAATTATTATAACCAATAGCCATGGGTTTTTTAGTTATTACGATTTAAAAAATCGAAAAATAAATATTTTTTTCAAAAATAAGATGGCGCACCTTTATAAAATAACGTGTTTTGTTAAGATGATTATTTTTTTAAACTTTTTTTCATTTTTTAACATAAATAATAAGATTTTCCGCATTACTATCATGAAAAAATATTATATAGATCGTTTGATAGGCTTACTTATTATTATTATTATATTGATAACTTGTAAAAATTTTCCTAAAAAGATAGTTAAGATTCCGATATCTCCTACAAGAAAATATAATAATTAATTGTTGAAAGATAAAAACAAGTTCTCATGCACCTGCCCTAATATTAATTAATTTTTATTTTACAAATATTTTGATATTAATTATTTTTCTTTTTAAAATTATTTATAATGTATAAATATAAATGCGTTAAATCTTTTTAAAGAATCTAAACACTTTAATTATAAAAAGAACTTGCGTAAAGTCATGACGTGGATGACACAATATTCAAACATTGAGGCAGAACATTATATTTGTGATAAACGGTTATCACAAAAAAATATTGAAAATATAACTATTCTGATAGTTAATATGCAAATAACATCAACACATCATCAACATCAATAGATACAATCAATATAACTTTAAACGAAATTGGAATATCTCCTATTAAGATAAAAAACTAACCGAAAAAAATTATCCAAAAAAAAGGAAAGCGAAAATATAAAAAGCTTATTTCAGATATAATAATTAACAATCCAGAATCGGGTACAAAAGATAATAATGATATTACTCAATAATATGAAATCACAATATCCTAATTTATCTAAAATAAAAAAATATCAATTGTTACCATTCTGCCTCCTAATTGGAGCGCGAATAAAATAAAAACGACATTCTACGCTATATAATCATATGGCATATAATTCCAAAATCGTTTTAGAAGAAAAGGGGATTCTTTCAACTCAAAATCGAAAGCCTGCAAAAATATCTCAATCAAAAAACATTTGATATTGTTAAAAAAAAATTTGCAGTGATGAAGTTAGTAGGGTATTACCAGGAAAAAAGATTGCATAATCTAGCATTGAAAAGGGGGAACGCTCAAAAAAGGTTAGTTCTTAATAATTTGAAAGAATTATATAAATATTTTAAGGCGAGTAATTGTTTACCTAAAATCAACACTAAACTATATTCTAATTCGCAGACATTTATTGTGGAGAATATAGTATATCCATGTGAGGATCCTTTGATTGTGGATCAATTAATCGATGAGATTAGAGGATATGTAATATGTGCATATGAAAACGATTGGTGGTTAGGATTTGTGCAAAAGTGAATGTAATTAGAGATGAAGTAAAAATTAATTTTCTTCACCCTAAAGGACCAGCAAATTCTTTTGTTTATCCAGCTGCATAGGATATCCTTTTCATCCCAAAAAATAATATTTTAACAATAGTTAGCCTATCAACGGCTACTGGGCGTATAATTTATAGCAACACGAAATTATCATGGCGTCAAAAAAACTAAATTTAATGATAAACCAAAAGTAGGTAATATCTTTCATGAATTTTAATTTATCTATTATATCTACAAAATTTATAAAATTAACAAAAATTAAAATTTTTTATAAGAAAAAAATGATTATAACCGCAGCTAAATAATCTCATTTCGATTAATGATAGAAAATCTTGCTATTTATGTTTAGAAATAGAAAAAAGTTTAAAAAAATAATAATCTTAACAAAACGCGTTATTTTATAAAGGAGCGCCGTCTATTTTTGAAAAAATATTTATTTTTTAATTTTTTAAATTCCAATAACTAAAAAACCCATGGTTGTCCCAACCATGAATTTTTTTAATGAATAGATATAAGGTTAGAGAATAAGAAAATATTAAATTCAAAAATTTGAAAAGCGAAACACCTGGAGTTTTTGTGTTTAAAATTTATAACTTAAATAAAAACCGCAATATTATTTCAAAATAATCCTTAATATTTAATAAAAGGCCTTTAATAGATTTACAAAATGACATATAACTTATATTTTTAAAATCATTATTTTTTAACTTATCTCAATTTTTAAAAATCGTATTTTTCGAAAAAGGCCATTTTTGGTACTTTTGACCATTGATATCTCAGGAACTATGAGTACTAGGAGGTTAAAATTTTGGATTCGATGCTTTTTAATGATATTCTCTCAGTATGCAAAATTTTATAAAAAGGTCGGACCGAAAAGTTATCGATTTGGTATGGAATTACCCATACATACCCCAGTTACCTGGTTTTTTTAATATAAATGAGAAAATATATGCAAAAGATTTAAAAAAAAAGATATTTGGATACCAGGTATCATCGTTAAAGAACAGGACCAATGACATTTTTAGCTGAGACTTAATGAGGTTTTTATAAAGATGACATATTAATCAGTTAAAACATAGGTTCGACGAATCGATTTAAAAAATAGAAAGGAAGGAAGAGAAGGGGAAGCGATGCAAAATACACCACTAATGAATGAAATTACTCCTATACAAAACTCGATAGCCAAAGACATTAATCCTATACAAGATTCGATTACCAAAGACATTGATTATATACACGACTTGATGATCAAAGACATATATCCTATACAAGACTCAATAATATAAAAAACCATCATAAATGAAAAGATTGAAATCAACCAGTAGTAGAGAACGAAGGTACAAGTAGCCGTTATCCTTAAACGGACAAGAAAACAATTTATACCGTTCCAAATCGAAAGTCTAAAAAAGAGAATAGGTGTAATAGAATCCATTAACCTAAAAGGCAATTGATAATATGATTAATTGTATTCAAATATATTGTTAATTATGTATGATGTTAATTAATATATTTAGATTGATTTGTAAAAGATATATAAACTGAAGTACAAAATATATTAAAGCAGATAAAAATATAATAAATTATTCAATAATAGTCAAATATACCAATTATATTTAAAATCATCGGGTAATCTATTCTTCTTGTCTATTGTAAAATTTCGATTCAATTTGAAAATAATTTATGTGATCACCATATTTGTATAATTATGTTTTCAAGCAACGATATAATCTTAAAATAATTTATAAAAATTCTCACCATAATGAAAAGTATAGAGTTCACTCAAATTATGAAAATTTGATAATTGTTGTATATAAAGGAAATGGAGGAAATAAAAAAACGAAAAAATAAGATGGAATGAAACCTCGAAGGAATAGGTACTTCGGTTGCATCGGCTAAATAAACTGCATCTCGCAAACGAACGAAGGTGATTATAGGGTTCTGCAAAAAGGGGGCTTCCCCTATCAAAACGTGAGCGGCCTCAACGTTTTCAGGCAACTTTTTCATAAAATGCCAATTGCCAACCTTTAATGTTTTTAGCAAATAAAAAACATAATTATTTTAATTATATATTTTTTTTGTATATAGATTTATCGGCTCAACAATTTATTAGATCACTTCGAAAATTATAATAAAAATTGTATATCTAACTAGATAAACTAAAAATAATTTAAAAAATTTTTTTTTTAAACCGTAAAAAAAATTTCAGTATGTGTATTTAAATACACAATGCGGCGTGTATAAAGTAGTGATCTGCATCGGGCCTAATTTTTCAAGCCCGGCCCGAACCCGAAATTTTTTTAAAAAAATTTACCAATTAATTTTTATAATTACTCAAAATAAAAGACATATGTTATATGTCGTTTAGTTTCAATAAATAAAATGAAATATTATTATTTTACATAAAAAATTCAATATAAAATTGATAAATTAAGATATATTTTAAAAAAATTCCAAAATCCGACCCGGCCCGAATTTTTTTTAAAATATTAGGCCCGGCCCGAACCCGATTATTTTAAATATAATTCGGGCTTCGGGCCGGACTCGGGCGGGTACGAGCCGGGCCTAACTTTGCAGATCTCTAGTATAAAGTATTATATTTTTTCAATTTCAAACCTATTACTAAATAAAGACATATTTTATTATTTGATAAATAATATAATGTCTCTCCAAATCTCGTGAATTAAATGATTCTGACATAAATAAAAATATTCTAATATTGTTTCGTATGACAATCTTAAATAGTAAAATATCCAATATAAAGAAGAAATGAATAAATAATAAAAAATATTTTAAAAATAACACGGTAATTATGACTCTAAAACCATAAACTTACCAAAATTATATGGCAGATTAAATAAAAAGTAAAACTTATATTTAAAATTTTCAATGTGATGCCATTCTTTCACGATGCTATTCTTACAATTCTAACATAAAAAAAAATATTCCTAAATTATGTCTGTGTGATTATATGATGATGCAACTTATTCAGGATATTAAATCAAAAAATGAATCAATTTTAATCTTTCATCGAGAAGATGCCTATAACCCTAATTCTTTAACAAATGATACAGTCTAAGTGATATGCCAAGATTTATATAAAGGCCAGTATAATTTTTTTTCCAAACAACATTGAAGAATATAAGTTGGAACACTCTTTTTGAAGACTCTAGGACTATGATGGTTTTTCAATCAATGCCCACCCAATGCAAGATATAGAACAAATTGAGATTGATCTTTATGATAAATTAATTATTGAACATGGGATTAGATACAAATATTTTCAAATTTTTTTTTTTAAACCTAAATATTCCACCAAATAATGTCCTCTGCTTATATATATATATAATTGCATGCCTGCCTTGACTATATATACAATTTAGACCATGTCTCCCTTTGGAGTCAACTAATATTTTACATTTGATGCATGTATGTGGTTAAACAATGTTACATCCAAGTCGATGGCCTATGGCAACTCTTAATTGTTCCTGATAAGAGGTTACCTAGGTTACGACTGGTAATGCTTCCAACCATTCAAAACCACTAGTACAGACAGCATTCTGTAATAGTTGAATATACTCCAAAGGGGGGTTTGATGAGATTATTTAAAAAAATTTTTCAATTAAAGGTTCGAAAATAGATTGGTGTGTTAAGATTTAAAACAGCTTCAGGTGGAGCTAAAGATACCCAAGCTGTCAAGGCTGAGTTTAAAAGGTTATCTTTAGGAGAGATAAAAGAAGAGATCATGGCGTTATTCATCAAACGCGATGCCAAAAATGAGGAAAGAGATATAAGATTTAAAGGATATAAATCTAACATTTTCGAGGGTAATTGTGAGAAACCCCAATTAAAATCTTCCAAATTAATATTTAAAATATTTTCTAAAAAACTTCTAAAAAATTCATGAACACGATTAATAATTTCATTATTTTAAAAAAAGGAAGAAGATCTAAAAATATGTAAAAATTTGGTAAAAATAAATATTTTTTTAAAAGAAAAAAGCTCTGGTGTGAAGGAATTTCTTTTAAAATATTTTCAAGTCCTAATAAGCCTTCGAAAAATTTTTTCACATTAGCCGTTCTCTTACCAGTGCCCGAATACCAAACATCCTGGAGCCTACAAATTTCTCATTAGATGATGGTTTAAGACCAGATGGCTTAACTTCCGTGCCTTGATCTTTAGGGAAATCCTTAATTTAGGACTTCACATGCGTATCTTCTTTCCCAAAAAATTTAAATTCTAATCCAGTTGATATAGCCGAGAAAAAAAACAATGAAATATTCCAAATTCACAAATTATATTTTTACACCGATCGTTATCTCTTCCCTTGGACATATGCCAAGCGGAACTTTAAAATTCTTAAAAAATATAGGCGATAAGATAAGAGCCCTTACATCAGAACCAAAAGAATACTATTTTTTAAAATAAAATCTACAAATAACTATTTTAAAATATAACTATTCATGTTTCTTGGGAACTTGTAACCTCCGTTTTTATAAAATAATGTTTTATTTTATTTTATATTTGATATGTTAATTTTAATATAATTTTATTTGATAGTAGTAATAAAAGGAATATTTATATTAATTTTCATGAAATTATTTAAAACAATCGTTTTTGAAGTACAGTAATAATATGATTTGTTGTAAGCACATTTCCAAATGTGAAAAAACTTTCTTATATAGTTAAATAACTTTCCATAATTATTGTAAAAAACATTTTGATAAAATTTTTTTAAAAATATTTTATATAAATTTTTTAAAAAATATTTTATATAAATTTTTTAAAAAATAATTTTGATATAAATTAAAAAAAAATTTTTTTAATAATAAAAGTTTTTAAACTTCAATGAAGGCTATAACGTCAAAGTTATGAATCGAATAAAGTTTTTTTATGTTTTGGACACAAGTTTAAGTGGGAAAATGAGAATTTTTTAAAAAAAATTTCTAATATTTTTACAATAATTTATTTTTAAAAATATATAAATTTTTTAAAATTTAAAATATTATTACAATATATTAATTTTACTTTTAGTTATCTAAAGAATGAAAATCAGGATAAATTTGAATAATTTCTTAATAAACATGAGTGAAATGTGGAATTTAGGGTTTTCAGATAATTCTTATTTGTTTAGATTTTTTTATGATCAATTCGAGACACGAAAATAAAAAAAACCATTTTTAAAGGAATGCATCGAATTCCATCTTCATTGAAGTTTGTGGTGTGAGAATAAAAATTCGAAAAATTATATGTAAAATAACTGCTTAAAATCCTCTTAACAATTGCAATAACTTCTATTCGGTTAATGGGTTTAGGAGAATTCGATCGGTATTAATTTTTAATAATTTCGAATAAATTTTCGATCGAATTTAATTTTGGCGAATAGGGGGTGGTAAAAATATGATATTTGGATAGGTGTATCCAAAATTATATATATAAAGTTAGTAAATAATCGAATATTATATTAACAAACCTGAAACTGATAGCTTCAAAATACTAGCGATCGTAAAATTTGACATTTAAAAAAAATAGAAATATAGTTTTTAATCGGGAAAAAATTATTATTTATGAAAAATTATTAGAAGTTTAAAATTAAAATTGTGGCAAAAGTTTTAATTTAATTTAAATTACCGGAAGTTTTTAAAAATATTAATTTTTTTCTCAACATTTATTTTCAAGTTTTTAAAGGTTTTTTAAAAAATCTCAACAAGTTTTTCCGATAATTATGGAAATTATTTAACTATATAAGAATATTTTTCACATTATGGAAATGTGTTACAACAAATCATATTTTTACTGTAAAACATAATAACATCACATTTGGTACAAATCACTTTCGTAACCAATTTACACCCAGGGTTAAACACGTCTTTTTACTATATTTTGGCCAATGTGCTATTAAATCCTGTCTTATTTCTTTCTGCGGAATAAAATTTGTTGGCTCCTTGCGAGATTTTTATTTATATTTGGTGCCAATTGTTAATAGTTTTTTTACGCTAGCGTTCCTATTTATGTTACATTTACATATCTCTGCTATTGAAATTTTAAATGTAATAATGGTATCTGTTCTTTTACCGGTAACTTTAAAGCTATAAAATCTCGTCTATACATTAACAAAGAATTTATGAGAATCATGTCAAGTATTTGGAATACTATACGGTGATCAAGTGATATCATTTACGTGATCTTATGTAGTGTTGTTAAAAAGTCGAGTTCTTATGATTTGGGACTGGAGTCGTAGTCGTAAGAAACGGCTCCGACTCAAGCCGATCAAGGAGCCGAATGAGCCGACTCACTTAGTAGGCTCGTGTATTCAACTCGTTGGGTCTGCTCAATTTTTTTGTTTTTTTATAAAATCTGGTAAATTACTAAATTTTTGGAAAATGATTAATGTGAACAAAATTATAATAAGAATATGTTGTTTTAGTTTTTCGTATTTTTTTGGCATGCTAACATGTTTAAATAAAATTTTAGTGAAGATGTACCCTAGATAAGTGACAATTGTCATAATCGTTGTTTTTAAAGTTTTTCGAATTTTTTTGATGTAAATGGGCTAAAATAAGCATTGCTAACATGTTTAAATAAAAATTTAGTGAAGATGTACAGTAGAAAAGTGACAATTGTCATAATCGTTGTTTTTAAAGTTTTTCAAATTTTTTTGACTTAAATTGGCTAAAATAAGCATTGCTAACATGTTTAAATAAAATTTTAGTGAAGATGTATCCTAGATAAGTGACAATTGTCATAATCGTTGTTTTTAAAGTTTTTCGAATTTTTTTGACTTAAATTGGCTAAAATAAGCATTGCTAACATGTTTAAATAAAATTTTAGTGAAGATGTACCCTAGATAAGTGACAATTGTCATAATCGTTTTTTTTAAGTTTTTCATATTTTTTTGACGTAAATGGGCTAAAATAAGCATTGCTATAACATGTTTAAATAAAAATTTAGTAGAGATGTACAGTAGAAAAGTGACAATTGTCATAATCGTTGTTTTTAAAGTTTTTTGAATTTTTTTGACGTAA